GGTACTGCTCATGTCTATAGGCGACGTTTACCACTTTCCATCAGGTGGGCCGCCAGCTTGTTTGCCATTCTAAGTTACATAAAAAAATAAGAAAAAAAATGTATACAGTATGAAAAGAAATAAACATTTTTTTAACAAATGTACTTAAGACAGATATGTATGTGACAAATAAACTTTGTCATTTATCTATGTAGGTAGATCACAATAGATGTTGCTTTTCTGCATAGCAAAATAAACCAGAGGGAAAGTTTGTACAAAAGTCGATGTGACAAATAAACTTTGTGTTTCGGTTATCTATGTACAGGAGTAGATCACAACAGATGTTATATCTGCATTTTTAGCAAAGCAAAATAAAAAATACTTTATGCTACGTTTTTCGACACTTAATACTCCATGTGGATGCATGTTATGATGTTAAAACGACTATTTCGTCACACTAACTCAATTGTAGTTGTAGTTTTTTAGTTAACAAGGTACACAATAGCCAGTAAACGTAATCACCCATTGTTACCAATGCTCGCGGCATATCCGACATATTGGTAAGTGACGTGGAATTAGAGATTATGGAATCCTTACTGTTAACTCTTCTTTGCATAATTTTTTATTCTTTGATTTCTTTGCATTTTTTTTTTATTGGTGAAATAAATCAAGATGATATAATTAATTTTTTTAATACAAGTTAGATTGGCAAACAAACTGACGACCCACCTGATGGAAAGTGGTAACCGTCGCCTATAGACATGAGCAGTGCCGTGGACATAACAGAGTATACTGTTTCGCCCATGATAGACCCCATGTGTTGCCCTTCCTGAGGACTCAGGTGTTATTCCTCTGTACCCTATAAATTCACGCCATATCCCACCCTGCAAACCGAAACACAGCCATGCAAACATAACTGCTTTACGGTTGGAACACGAGTGGGACAGAAGTACCCAAGCAAACAGCTTGTTTGCCATTCTAAGTTGTATAATAAAAAAAATGTCGGATTAGATATTTTTTCACAACTCACTCAACATGGGCATTAAATAAAAGGGCTTGAGTAGTAGAATACTTTACACTATGGTAAATTACAAATTCAAGATGGCCGCCACCACAAAATGCCTAATAACTTTCTTTTTCACAACTCCCTAAATATAGGTGTCAAATAAAAGAGCTTGACTAGTAGAATATTGACCCGTCTTTAAAAAAAAAACGTTCAAGCTTACTTTTTTACTTTATCCGAACAATAAGTACTTTATATTATTCTAAATTTCGTGCATAATATTAGTATATGTTTATATGTGTAAGTATATTTGTTATTTATATATATTTATTCTTTAATATATGTGATTTTAGTATGTATGTATATCAATAATTATTAGTACCGCATTCGAGTATTCTGACACTTCCCTATGGTCGACTGGGAGAGAATGCTTTTAGCATTAAGTCCGCCATATACACATGTATGTGCTAATAAATAGATAAATAAAATAAATATTGTACACTGTATTGAAAAATAAGGAATATTAAGTAACAAAATAAAATAAAAAAAATTTTAATTGTTTTTTTTTTGTCTGATCGATGCCCTAGCTAGATTGATGAGGAAAGCGGGGTGTGGACTGGTACCTAGGACCTAACAAATTATTTTTTATGAATCGGGAATTTTTAAAATTTTCAATTTATATCATGTGTCTGTTCCATTTGTACACTATGGCCGTTATAAAATAAAACAACTAAACATATTATATGAGTACTCATAAAAACAATAGCGTCATATTCCTTAACTTTGAACTTTCTTAGATCATGTTCTCCTGATTGCGACAAACATGAGATATGACGTCATATAGATGCGTATACACTTACAAATATTATAAATGTGAAAGTGTGTTTGTTTGTTACCTTATAGTGCATTAACGGCTTGATTGTTGTAGATTTAAAAAAAAAATTAAAAGTGTTTGTAAATAAATCTATTTGAATTTGGTGAAGGATTTTTTTTATGCAACTTAGAATGGCAAACAAGCTGACGGCCCACCTGATGGAAAGTGGTAACAGTCGCCTATAGACATGAGCAGTACTATGGACATAACAGAGTATACTGTTTCGCCCATGATACCCCCCATGCGTTGCCATTCCTGAGGATTCAGGTGTTATTCCTCTGTACCCTGTAAATTCACGCCATATCCCACCCTTCAAACCGAAACACAGCCATGCAAACACAACTGCTTCACGGTAGAAACACGAATAGGACAGAGGTACCCAAGCAATCGACTTTTGTACAAAGTCTCCTTCTGGTAATCCCTGCACTAACGGTATGCACTGACGGGGCACCAGTGAGAGATGATAGGTGAGGATGAAAGCAGATCAGTAAGCCCATCGTGATAATTTGTGTGCTGTAAGGTAATGCAAATAAATTATCTATCTATCTATAATCCTATCATCATCGTTCTTAAGAGCCGTTAACTGTCTATCACTACTGAACATAGCCTCCCCCATAATGGAGGGTTTTTTAATGGGTACAAATGGCATGGTAACCCCGCCTGCGCTATTGGTATACACTGGCAGGGTACCAGTGAGGGGTGATAGATGAGGATGATATATATATATATATAATATATCAAATTCTCGTGTCGCGGTGTTTGTTACCAAACTCCTCCGAAACGGCTTTACCGATTTTTATGAAATTTTGTGTGCATATCGGGTAGGTCTGAGAATCGGCCAACATCTATTTTTCATACAATATAGTTAATATACGATGATAAGGATGACCTACCTCTAAATATTTTTTGAAAATTTTTTTTTTTTATTTATTATGATTTAGCATTGAAAATTACATATAACCTAAATTTTTTACCCTTTTACGATCAATCCCTGTTTTTTAATTGCGATTTTTATACTCCGCAATAGGGTTGCAAGATGGCAATTGAATATAATAATTGTAGTACGATAAATGTTCATGTATAGTTCTCGAAATAATGTATATAGTAAAACAACGTTTGCCGAGTCAGCTAGTATAGGTATTATATTTCTCTTTTGAATAGTGGGCGTGGTCCAAGCATATTCTAAGTTCCAAGTTCAGTTCACAGTAATACTGTTCACTCGCATGATAAACACATAACGGCCTTTTGTTCTCCAATATTAACGTTATTGCCAGAAGCTTTCATTGTTGCCTTATAATTTATGCCTCGTTTTATATGATACTATAGACCCGCCCCGGCTTCGCACGGCTTCAATGCTGACACTAAATAACGCTGCCGGCCCATTAGAAATCTTTAAAATTATCAATGTTCCACTACAATATTATGCATATATTATACATATAAACCTTCCTCTTGAATCACTCTATCTATTAAAAGGAACCGCATCAAAATCTGTTGCGTAGTTTTAAAGATCTAAGCATACGTAGGAACAGACAGCGGGAAGCTACTTTGTTTTATACTATGTAGTAACTAGGGATACGCCCCGGTTTTGCACTGGTAGATAAATAACTGGTAGACAAATTAATACTTTATATTAGGTTTAAAAGGCAACTTTAAGACACCTTGGTTTTTTTTTGTATCAGCCTCTAACTCTTCACTGCTGAACATAAGCCTCCCCATTGGGGGGTTTTGCCAGTAGTTGTCATGCTTGGCAGACGTATTGGAAACCACAGTTTGGCTTTTGGTGATGTTTTAGAAGGGACGCTGCTTCTCATCTCTCTCCCTTCCCTTAGTCGCCTCTTACAGTACCCATGGGAAAGTAAGGGGTGGTCTGTTCTATGCCAGGACTACAGGGCTTTATTCATTTACTGTTTAAATCTATTTATTAATGTATTTTATTTAAATTCAGTTGAAATTTGTGTTTTGCGGAGCAAAATATTGCTACTGGTTTACAGTCAAATTTATTTATTTATAGCAAGGCAACAGATTACAAATTAATACATTTATAAAATAAATATTACATAAAACGGCATTAAATTTGCACCCCAATAACTGCTCTGCATTACATTCCATATTATATACATTAAAAGAATGACGGCTATAAATTTAAAGTAACAAATTGGCAGCTTTAATGTAACATTGCAAGGATTGTTGGAAAATATCAAGCTCCTTGCATACGTTGTTATATTTTCTGCACATGGATTGTGATACGATACATTATTATTACAAATCGGTATATAAAATAATTTTTATATTCTTTTATTATTTGTACGAAATGAAACAAGGCTCAACAATGTGCTAAATCAAAATACAGTATAGTCAAAATCCTCTTTTTAAACCCAATTTCATATAGAATCAACGTTCACCGTAAATTGGAATCTCGCATCGATATTTCCATCCATGAGACACCATAATCAAAATGTCCTGCAATCACCCTTATTTCAAATGACTGCCTATATGAAAAGCAAACGTTGAAAACCAATACATTTCCAACTCTCCGCACTTGTATTAAGGTTTAGATTAATAATTGGACCGTGAAAATGCACTATCAAATGCAATACGTGCATGAAATGAGTGTTTCGATTTTTTCCTCTCCAATGTTAGAACTGCGTTTAGATATAACTGAATCCTTGTCGATGTTTGTTTAATATTAGTTTTCCATACTTTAAATATTCAATCGTGTCGATTGAATAATATTGGTTAGTTGATTGAAATTAGACTACCATGTAGTATAGTATAGTATTATGTAGTACAGTAACTACAATTGTAGCAGTTATTTCAATTTCAAAACTTTGGTTTTTAAATCAGTAGTTTACATAGTTGATAATATTTCTATGGGACCAATTTGTAAGTATATTCTCTATTTACAACTAACAAACATAAATAAAATATGATTGAATTGTAAATTTCTATTTTTTGAAGTCTTTTGAATACATAAGTTAACAACATGACAATTTAAAATTAACTATGCACTAAATAATTTTTATCTATCTTTCAAGTTCTCAATCTTATACCGTAGATAAAATTATTATTGTAACCCAACTACTCGTTACTATTCCAAATCTATGCCTCGAACAATAAATGACAAACAAAACGTCATATCGATAAATGCCTTCAAAATTATAGTAAACAGCCACAAATATAAAATATAAATTAACACAATGAACCCTCTAGAAACTGCACATATCAACAACGATGATGATGAAGAAGATGATGAGATATTCAAATCTGAAGATGAAATGAAGCGATCTCTGTCACGGTTTTGCTACGGTGATCTATGCGTCATAGGAACAATATGGATTAGGACTTTAAAATTTTTGTTGGTTGGTGCAAACATGAGTCTGATACCCGTAGTCAAAGCTGCCAAACCTCCAGATTGTCCGAAACGTCCGCCACCAATGAAGTCTAAAGATTTACCGATATACAAAAGTCCGCATTACGAATATAAAGATCACATAGCTCAGAAAAGCAGATGTCCAGAAGCCAACGACAAATTGTTTCACAAATTTCTCCTTCCACACGTCACTTGCTATCGAAGAAGCATTCAACGACAGGCGTGCGATGCAAGATGCTCGATAGGAAAGACTTACAACGATATATACTGTTCTATAAACACTTCTGCGAAAGACTTTAAGACATTTATGCGGAGTCGAGAAAATTTGCAATTAAGACAAACCGTCCTTGCAACTACCACGGCAACAGGTTATTTTATAGGATCTGGAAGAGGTATCCCTCGCCGAATCTTCTTCGCTGGCCTCGGTGCTTTAGCTGGAGGATCTCTGTGTTTCCCAAAAGAAACAGATGAAGCATTCAGGAATTTTCTGTACCATTCTGCTAAGACTTTGATAGCCGCTTATAATTTCTACTGTAATAAAAGCTTTGCCTTGAAAGAAAGGATTCCCTGCAAAGACGATATGCCTACACCTTCGAAGCCAAGGGAACAACAGTGTCCTGAAAAGAAATGAAAGAAAAAAATATTAGAAATCAAGTAATAATTCAATCGGTAAACTCCAATTTAAAATGTGACAAGTAAGTATATGACGAAATAAAATAAATATGAAGAAACATTTATCTTTCATTAAATTCTTCTATAATACACCTTCCTATGCGATTTGTAATGGCATAAAATACCCAATCTAGCAACACTGTCAACAGGAAACTGTTAGCGGATTATCACTGACCTCTCTCGTGTTTGAAGTCAGCAAGTGACCCAATAGAGACATGTATTTACACTAGATAGAGATGTGAATACATTATTGCGTGACGTCATATCGTTTATTGAGCCAGTTTTTAACAGAAATATTCAATTGTCAATCTTATATCATAGCATTAAAGTCTACCAATAAATTCAGCGTTATTTTTTCAAAACTAGCTTCGCTTTATTGCCGGCCAGTTTTAAATTGTTGTCTTACGACTTTTCCTTAGATCGTTGCGACGCAGTTTTTGTTGACAATTTGTGTAGTATTCAAATTTCAGCTCTATTACCGAGCGTTAAGATTGCACTAATGTTACTAAAACATATTTTTTATTACATCTCAAAGAGTTCACACTTGATTTTTTATTTTTTTATTTATGACCACGCGCGCGGCTTCTTGTCGCGTAATGGCGGTGTTTTTTTTTTTTTTATTTTGAGAACATGTCATAGGTCGTGGGTAACTTTACATTATTCTTTACACTAAGTTTTTGAATGGCTGTGATTCATGTATTTGTTGTGTTTGTTCTTAGTAAAACAATAATATGTAAATATCTTACTGGTAAACCACATGATTCATTGAATATGTCACGTATGTTCTGAAATTAGTCACAGCTTTAAGTCTTAGTCTAAGGTCATATGGCATACCTACTAATAATACTATTTATTTTATTTTAATCTTAGATTATGTAGATACAGTGTCTCCATACAAATGCTTTAAGAAAGCGGGTCAAGTTTTTCATACAATTTTGCGTGACAAATAGTTATAAGTGGTTCCTTTATAACTTTTATATTTATTTCATAATTTTTGCATCTTTTTGATGCGTAAAAACTCATTATGTTTATTAAGTTATTAAATATAAATACGTCAAAATGCATTATGTATATAGAACACTGATAAAAAAACGAGTCAGCTAATTTGATAATTAGCTGATGAAAAGTTGACCCGTTTTTAAGACTCGATGCTCTCTCTACATCATCATCATCATCATTTGGGGTCGGCGTAATATGGTTTTATCCATATTACTACTTTGTTATTTTATTACTACTTTATTATTTACTTTATTATTATTATTACTTGGTGGTTTCTGTCACTTACGGTTTGGAGGAAAGGATTAAGGAAAAAAGGTAGGGAACGTTGGAAATGCATAAAGGAAATCAGTAAAAGAGAGGAATAAGGGACTTATGTGGGAAAGGAAAGGGGGGAGACTGCAGTTGCGAAAAAGACTGGGACACTGCAGCGGCTCGGGAGGCCGGGGTCGCATACCCGTATGCCCTTATTCTAGAATCGGAAAGATTTCTATGTAATTCTCTCTATATAATCTACATAAAGTTTTAATATATAAAAACATGTTACAGTGTCAGTCCATACTAATCTCCGAAGCCGATCAATCGATTTTAAAGAAATTTTCAATCGTCGTTTAAAAATCAAGAGTTTCTCGATTCGGTTGTATTTTAATGAATGAATGAATGAGTATACTTTATTTGCATTATACAATATAGGGAATAAGCAAGACAATTTACAAACACAACGATACAATTGTATAAGTACAGTGAGGCGGTCTTATTGCTGAGAGCAATCTTTTCGAGACAACCTTAAGGTAATGGACTAATTGTTGCACAAGTAAGTATGTTAGTACTGTATAATTAAAAAAGCATCTTTTACAAATTAAAATGTTGGTTACTTCATAACTACGTCATTTATAAACCGATTGAGAAAAATTTTTTGTTATCTATATAAAGGATATACTCCGAAGGACCAAAATCTTCTGAATAGTTCGAGAAGAATGTTAATTTGTCTCCGCAGGTTATTAGGTGAATAATATTACTTGGGAAATTTATAAAATAAAACCACCTATTAATCCTGTTTCTCCCTTACGGAGCCATTTTTATTAATACTTTTTTATTTTAATAGTTTTTTTTTTGCAATAATAATGTAAAGGAATAAATTCTATGTTTCGATGATCGAAACAATACTTACAGATTAGTCCTAAAGAAATTTTATCAAAATCGAACTGAGAGTTTAGTTTTTAAATCAAAATAACAGGTTTTTTCACAATTGAAGACGGTGTTTTTTTTTTTTGGAAAACAAACTTTAGTTATATAAATAATTTGTATTTATATTGTTTGCTTCAGTTTGAGTGATAGCATTTTTTATTTTATGTTGATAAATAAAAACCGCTAAATTGTGAGTTGTTCTCAGTCGCCGAGGATTCCGTACATAAAAATAATCACTTATAAATGACTGAAGGAATTTGAAAGTAGTACATGAATATGTTATAGCCTTGTTTAACACATATAATTTAATAAATTGGAATATAATATATTTGTTCACATGTTTTAAGAGGGACATCCATAGCCCTCCCTTAGTAGCCTTTTACGACATCCACAGGAAAGAAAGGAAGTGGCATATTCCATGCCAGAATATATAGCTAGTAAATGAATATGTTATAATATATTGACGCACCTTTTTTTATAATATTAGTAAGCGATAAGACTGCCTTTTTGTACCTTTATGTATATATATTATTATTATTGTTGTATATATAATCTGTACTTTACGCTACTGTATTTCACCTGAAGTGCTTTTTTTTTATACAAGTCAGAATGGCAAACAAGCTAACGGCCCACCTGATGGAAAGTGGTAACTAATTGCCTATTGTATAACAGAGTTTACTTTATATATCCATTCCTGAGGACTAAGGTGTTATTCCTCTGTACCCAGTAAATATACGCCATATCCCACCTTTCAAATCGAAACACAGCCATGATTATTGAAACACGAATGAATAAAATCATTTTGTACAAAGTTTCCTCTGGTGAGTGTTAATATTTTATTTTGATGTTTGTGGTCGAATAAAGACTTAAATAAATAAAATATATAGTATGATAATAAAATGTAATTTAAATCCGAATCCCGTACTAAAACCCAACAGTTTTAATATAGAAATTCCGTTTTAAATGTTAGCGACAGATTTGCTCGCCCAATCATAAATCGTCGTTATTAAGTGCACGCATTTAACTGCGGATCCCTAAAAATAGCGGCCACGGACCGCATTAAACTAACTCGCGATTAACGCCGTTAAACTGCAGATTAAAATTTACAGCGCAGTACTAAGGTCGAAGTTAAATTTAACAAGCTTAATTTTTTTTAATGTGAAACAATCGCTCCGAATTAGATGCTTAATGGAAATGGCGGTAAATTTTCATTTAATTTAAAGATGTTGCGGTTTAAGATACTGCCCCATATTGTGATAGTTGCTGGTTCGAATCCCGTACAATACAAATTTTTGTTTTCATAAGGATGTTTGTTTGTATCGTTGTATTGTTAATAATTTGCACGCCGACATAGAGGCAGACTGTATATGAGAAATGTAAACCTCTTTCATCGAAAACTACGTACATTCTAGCAAAATAATTTCATTTCATTTCATTTCGGTCTATGTAGATATTATGTATATATTTTGAATTGTTTTTTTTTTCATTTACAATTTGAACTATTTTCTACCAACTTAAAAAAAGGGATAGATTCTTATTTCGGTTCTATTTTAAAACCGACTTCAAAACATAGAGGTTTTCAATTCGGTTCTAATATTTGTGTTTTTTTTTATGATACCTCATAACTCATTTATTGATAAACACTTTTAGTAAATACACTGATTTGGGTATTTTGTTATCTGAAAGTATATATTTAATATATATAATATATAAATTTGATCGATTAAGTATTTTAGTTTTTAGACAAATGAAGTCGGTGTTTCTTTGTGAAATAAATACTAAATAATTATCTACGTTAATCATAATGGTGTATCACGAATAGGTAGACCAAGACACGAACAAAGAGTAGTCTAATATGTATATATATGGGGGGAAAGGGATTGTTAGTAATGGAGACTAAGAATCCCATTGCTAGCAATATACCCAACCAGGTCGCCCTCCTCGCGGTTCCCCCTGGAAACTATCATGATAAATTCCTGATGAATTTATCATGATGGGCTGACTGACTTGTTTTCATTTTCATTGATCACCCTTCACTGGTGCCCCGTCAGCGTATCCCGTTAGTGCAGGCGGGGTTACCATACCATTTTCATCCAATAAAAAAAAAATTTTATATAAAAAATAATTAAAATTGTATTTCCGACTGTAAAAACCGATATCAATTGCGGCAAAACCTGTTATTTTGATTTAAAAACTAAACTGCTGAACCGATTTTGATACAATTTCTAAGGGACCAATCTGTAAGTATATCACTTCACATAAAAAAAATAATTTACCAAATCGGTTCACAACTTCTGGAGATATGAAGTAACAAACATAAAAAAAATACAACCGAATTGAGAACCTCCTTTTTTTGAAGTCGGTTAAAAAATCATGTTATTCATCGGTACGTTTTATTCGTTATGAAATCAAAACAGGACCGACAACTGTTCAATAATAATTATGTCAAAATTGTATGTTTTTTGTGAAGCGAAATTCACTTTTTTTTTTTTTTATACAACTTAGAATGGCAAACAGCCCACCTGATTGAAAGTGGTAACCGTCGCCTATAGACATGAGCAGTACCATGGATATAACAGAGTATACTGTTTCGCCTATGATACCCCCCATGCGTTGCCATTCCTGAGAACTCAGGTGTTATTCCTCTGTACCCAGTAAATTCACGCCATATCCCACCCTTCAAACCGAAACACAGCCGTGCAAACACAACTGCTTCACGGTTGAATCACGAATGGGACAGAGGTACTTATTTGTCATAAAATATAAGAACAAAGTTGCCATTCACCTCTGCCGGCCCCAAAGATAAAGGTGTGAATATTAGAGGCACTAATGATCCCATACATCACAGTCTTTTGTTATCGAAATAAATATGTCCCAAGTCGAAATACTTTTAAG